CCGTGCCGCTTGCCGGCGGCGGAGGGCGGGAGCCCGCCGGGGCTGAGGAGACACCCGGGCCAGGGGAGGGGCCGGTCCCAGTCAGCGCAGCCGAGGCCAGTCGCTTTAGTAGACAATTTATTTTGATAAACTTGCTCAATAACAAAAATACAAGTGAAGAAAATTATGTTCATTTTATACAGTTTGTATTAACATTTGTTCGGAAATCATTAATCGAAAAATGTTCTAACCAATTAGAAAACAATCCTCAGTAAAGGCCGGGGCGGGGGACGCAGACGGTGGGGCCTGGAGCGGGGAGCGACGCGACGCCCAGGCAGGACAACCCGCTTGCAGACACCATTTCCTTCATTACTTTCATCCTTCACAACGGTTTTAAAGGACAGCTTTCATTATTTTGGTTTTGTGTGTGTGTGTGTGTTGGGGCAAACAGTAATCTACAGTTGTGTTCTGAAGTGGTTAAACAACGGCTCGGAAACACAGGTATGACAGGAGGGCCCTAATCTGGTGGCTTTAGTTCAGCCAGAGGGCCGGGCTCAGGTGGTGCTGCACACTACCAGCGTCTTCAGGAACTGGTATCACTTGCCAGCAAGATTAACAACGGAAAATGATGTTAAACGGTGAGACTGGTGCGTTCAGGGAAGCACATCCTCCCCAGGTCCGAGACAAACGGCTTCCAGGCAATTATTTCAGCTGAGCTCAACAATAAGATTTATACAGACAAATTAACTAGCTTTTCTTCTGAAGGTGTTTTAAAATTTCCAATCTTAAATTTTGTTAGCCAAATAAATGACAAAGTGTGCCATTACGATGGGACATCAAACCCTTTGGGGAATGGTGAAGCAAAAGACTAACTAAGAATCCCTGTTGACGCATGAAATGAGCTGTCCTTTGAAAAGTTAAATACAATGGCTGGCAGAATCAGAAAAGTTTATGTAAACACTCAACACAAATATGGGATCACCTTTGGAGAAGATTCGTATGGAAATATTTGCTTTTCATGAAATGAAAAAGTCTACAGATGTTTAGGCATGTTCAATGCGAACTTCCTGTAGTTTAAAACAAAACCTTGTGCAAATAAAACCTATAAATAGTCTTCAGCAGATTTTACAGTGATGCTCTTAGGTATGAAAAGAATGCACACAACTTTAAAACAAAAGTAACAGACATAAATTTGACAAATGATTGCACCATAAAACAGTGTTTTATATACAGTTTACAAGATATGATTTTCTGCTATAAATTAATACTGTACTATATAGTACTTAGTGACCTTATTAAAAGCAACTGTTGACAGCTGTCTCTTCAATTACTGGGTGGGGTTTTTTTTAAATGCAGATGGCTGCATCTATTTCTGGACTTAAAATGCTCAAATATTTAATCAAACAATCTGCTAGTTAAATCTCTCCTATTATTTACTAATTCATAGCAATAGCACTGGCAAATCAGATAAATTTCCAGCCAGCCAGCCACATTTTGGGTATGATCCAAGATAAGTGTTTATGTTTTTTAATGAAATGATGATTCATTTAATCTAAGCCTAAATTCACTGTATACATGATATTACCATAACAGAAGTAAGCAAGCTGGGGGGGGGAAAGAAATCTTAGTGGCTGAGAAACCTGTGTTCCAGTTACAAAAATCTCCTAGAACTATTTACAACGGTGACGTTTCTGAAATAGAGTGCTTTTTTTTCAACATATGGTCTAAGTTTTAGCAATACTTCATCTTAGGATACAGCAGTGATCTCACCACAAATTTAGACACACATCCAGCAGCTGAACCCTGCATTTCATCTCCACCAACATCACTGGGGATCTCAGACTACCCATGCAGATGAAGGCTTAAATTAGGAACTAAATCATACTTAAACCATTACTTCCAAGTAGGTGTCTAGCTGTATTGACAGGTTGCATACTTCAGAAAAATTTAGTGTTTATAGACACTCCCTCCCACCTGTGAGTGAGCTGACTGGAAAAAAAGTCACTTATAGACCATTCCAGTGACAAATTTATTCAAAAATGCCAAATGAAAAAACAATTCAGCAAATAACCTTTTTGTATTAAAAATACCTTGGGAGGAGGAGAGGAAAGAGATGGAGGAGGAGGAAGACAGAGACGCACTAGGGTCTGAATGGCACAGAGTTAAAAGAATTGTGCAAATTGTCTTATTTTCAAACACTTAAGCTTATGTGATAAGTGATTATTTTGGAAACTGCTGATTATAATTTAACAACCACCTCATTCTAAAATGCACTTTCACTAACATTTTAGAAAAATGTCTATTTAGCAATGCAGTTCTAAAAAGCTCAATGAAACAGTACTTGAAACGCACACTTTTTTTGTTGTCATAATGAATCTCAGGTAAACCACATATTAACTGGAAAATAAATACTGATAGTGCAGGCAGCTTTCCTGGGACACTGAACTGTACTTTCTGCAAGGTTAGGTTGAGTAGTGAATTACGATGTCTATGGATTCAAAGGTTTATCCTTGTGTTGAAAAATAAAACTACCTTTAGTGAGGAATATTTACTCCAAATTTGGGTGGCCCTTAAATCCACACTTAAAATAACAACTTTAGTAAACAATACACGTATTATTTAAACTATAATTTAAACTATATTGCTAAATTTTGGTAAAGATGAATTAATACTCAAAAACAAGTTCATCCATCTTAGCAGTGGAATAGTGTTTGCATTACTTTAAACATTGCATTTTACATGTGCTAGAGAAAGGCTTATCAATGGTAAAACTGTGCTTGAACAAGTATGAATGCTAATGTAACAATGCAGTAGAAAAAGAGACTTTCTGTACAACAGTTGCTAATAATTTAAATAGTGTCAGTTTCCCAAAATTAGGACTTTAACTTTAAGGTATGACATGATCTCACCTTCTACCCTCATATACAAATAAATTACCATAAAAAGAATTTTAGCTTAACTTAAAATTGCACCTAAAAAGGCATGGGATCGTTTGTACCTATTACAAAAACTGTTAAAATCAAGGGCTGCTACAAAGAATGAGGTAAACTGAAGACTCTCAGCTATGTGGCCTTCAGAGAAATGGCTTTTTTCTATTGAGTTCTAGTTTTGCACACCACAGTGTTTTGCTAGCAAAGCGTTCTGAGTTCTTTTCCAGGAACCATTTGTGTGTATATACATATATATACACATATATGTGTATACACACACACACACATACACACACACTGTATACTGCATCAGCAAAATATATATATATTTATATATATATTTATATAAATATAAGGAAGAAATCCCCCTCTAAAATGTTCCTTAGTGTTTTTCTAGAGCTTATGGGGGAGGAGGGGATGTATGTCTTCTTGCTGTTACATACATTTAGAGAACATGTTTTGATCTATTGGCTTCTTGGTGCAGTAATGCAAGATTGATCCACATTGGTGCCAAAGGCTTTGCTCATCAGAAGGAAGATGTAAAATACTAATCTCCTAAACAGCGAGGCCAGCCTCACTTGAATTCCTCTGCAACCCTCTGGTCTACCACAAAGTTCATAAATACTTTGACTTCCAAATCATTAGACATTAAAAACAGGAACAGTACAGTAACATGGGGCATTATGCTTCTCAGTGTAAAGCATTCTTCACTAGTTCCTATCACAGTGCAGACCTGACTGCATTAAATATGCTCAGGAGATTAGTCAACGTTGTCTGTATTTGGTTACGGGAAAGGCTCTCCTTTTTTTCATCCAAAGTGCATAGTGAGAACAAGTCAAAGCATTCTTCTTTTCAGTAAGTGTTCAATAGTCTGATCTAGGCATCCTCCTGAGAATGCAATTCTGATCTCTTTCTCTTTTCCAAAATAAAGTCCTGAAGTTCAGACATTCATCAGCCAGGTAAACAAACTTTGCCAGCAAATAGAAGTCCCACTATTGTAAAGAAAATGGATAAGACAAACAGTACATATGAAGACCCAACCACTGTGTTATTGGGTAATTTATACGGTTGACCTCCAACTTCATTGATGTAAAATCCTATTGGAAATATTAGGGCTGCCATACAGAACAGAATCACTGCAAAGGAAAGAGAAAAGAAAAAATGGTCACTGCTGTGTTAAAGTCAAAATATTTACCAGTTCATAGAGCAGTCCAGAAAAGCAAGCAAAGCATTCTGGCCAAACTGAACAGCTAAAATATTCCAGTACCTAGCTTGCTTGAAATGACCGAGTAGGCTTTATCTTGCTTTAAAAACATTCCTCATTTACTCCCAAGAAAGACTGAAAGACCCCCATTTTGACTGTAATTTCAGTCCTGCTCACTAGATCCTGAACTGTCTTTACAGAATAAAAATTTGGTGGATATACTTCTACCACCATCC